ACAAAGTTCCACTTTCTAGGCATATTTTTGGGTGATTAATCCTAGTTAATTTTTAGGTCCTCAACTCTTCTAGTAAGCATTTAGCATAATCTTCCCAAGCTAGGTATCCAGAATTAAATCTGTGTAATTGATTACACTGCAAACCTGGCTGCTGTGCAAGTCAGTAGTGCAAGCAGGCACGAGAGGTGACACGCTGGACAGTGACACCATGTGTCTCCTCCTGCCAGCCCAGCCACCCTGAGAAACAGCAGAGAACACCTGGAGCTGATTTGCCTAGCACTTACAGAGGCTGAAGTAAGCAAAATTCATTGGTGAATCCTCAGAACTCATCTGTTGACACCAAGAAGAACCCAAGAGAAGCGGTGAGGATGCAGCTGCTGCATCCACAAACCAGTGAACTCAGTTACAGATTGTCTAAAACAATGCACTTCTCCCTTCAAAATGGTATCTCACTGAGTTAGTTGCACTAATTTCATGCAGTTCCTCAAGGTTTAACTTTGAGGAGAGGAGGCAGTGCTTCCTGGGCACCACAAGCAATTCGTTGCCAATACAGCTCTGCTTGATCACACATCATTTAAAAACTTCCAGTTTTCCAGGATCCTCCCCATCAAATGTGTTGGATAGTTCTGCAAGTTCTGTACTACATTTTGGTTATCCACTGGAAACCTTACCTTCATAGCAGGACTATTTAAAAAAAAAAAAAACCAAACAAATAAACCCAAACAGATCTTAAGCACTCAATATATTCTGGTATTATTTTTAATAAGGAAAAAAAACCACAACAAACTAGATTAATATTCTAATAAAAAAAAAATAATCAGTTTACTAGTGTTTGCTTGTCAGGTTTTTTTTTACCCTAACAAAACTTGAAAGCTCTTAGTCTTTTGTAGAAAATGGCTGCTGTTGCTTTTTAACAGCAGCACAGTAGAAAAGCTAAAAATGAAATATTAATACATCGAATATATTTTCAAGCAAGCTTGCTCAAGCTTTAAACCCAGCTTTTCCTTTAACAGCCTGCTACAGTTAAAATTTAAATCCAACAGTAGGATTACCACAGAACCTCTTCTGATTCCAAGCAGTTTAAAAAACCTGCTATGTTTTTTAAATGCAAAAATCTCACAGCAGTAGTTACTTGTTGCAAATAATTCATTAATTCAAAAGAAAATTATGCAGAAATTCAAAACTTTAGAAAGTGAAAATACTTTCTCCATTCAGATAAAGAAATTGCTTGCAGCAGTTCATTTAAAGCCAATTCCTGTCACACTCACAATAGAAGGATGCTCTTTAAGAGAAAATAAAATGACACACTGATTCATTGGCTAGCTCATTAATCAGGACATGCTGATAGAGAATCATTAATCAAGACTCCCTACTAATAGAAAATCGTTAGAACAAAGCACATCAGCAGCAATGCCTCTTCACTTACCGAGCCTTTGTTTAACCAATACCTAACCTTGAGGCCAGTTTCTCAGTAGCTCTCAAAGCTTCTATGACATAATTTATTCAAGACCCTTGACATAGTGCAGTCCTTCAGTATCACAACATCAGCTTGAAAATTAAGTACATAAAGGTGTAGGGAAACAAGGGCAAAGGGGAGTTCTTTACTTCATATGAACGTATTGAAGCAACATGAGTTTAAATTCACCCAAACCAGAAGTTTTCAAGACAAATGCTAACATTATTTGTTTCTATTAGCAAAGGGACCTCAGTCAAGGATATATCTCAGTAGGGTTAGGATTACTTTAATAAATAATACATGCTTCATTTTGATTTTTTCAGTGTACCTGCCATGCCACTTACTCTTTCATCCAAACAAAGTCCATGATGTGTTTGGACAGCCAGACTAGCAGGTGGCACAGATGGACCCAGGTTCACTGAATCCACCTGTGTGAACTCTGATGGAACAATGCTTTAAGCAAGATCAATGGCAATCTAGAGAACCCTGAATATTTCCACAATAGGCAGAAAGCAATGGAAATAATAAAAACTGGTTTTAATACTTATTAATGATGATTTTCATTTAAAATGGAGCACTTCAGTAACAACACTATCTGTAAACTGTGAGAAAAACTATGTGTAAATTTGTGCTGTGAGAAGCCTCCAGCACAGAATCTGAAATAAGAGTTCAGAAGCAGAACCAGAAAAAAACGCAAGCTTCCATCGTTCAGTGATGGTAGAGGAGGTTTTAATACATGATTTTTGACAGATTGTTTTCGATTGAGAAACTGAGATATAGGGCTAGACTTTTTCCATGTTTTCTTCTCACTGCCTTTTTTTCCTTATTCCGTTTTTTTTTAAAGTCGGGTAAGAATGTTAATCTTATTTAACAGCAGCTGCTATTGCTTCTTCAAGTAATTATATAAAATACATAACACTCAGAAAATACAGCTGGTAAATGTTAAGAATACCTGCTACGATTTTTAAAATTGAGCTTTCTAGAATTATTCAGTCTAAGTAAATGAAGGCAATTCTATATTAAAATTCCTTTGTTATTCTTATAACCATATGAATTTTCTCAATTTATAGCAGACAATTAAGATTTACACTTTTTATTGTTGTTTGGTTTTTTATTGTTGGTTTGATTTTTGTTGTTTGGGGTTTGGTTCATTAGGATTCTTTTAAATCTCAGTGCTTTCCAGAAACCAAAAAACCCTTACCAAGGTTGATATCAGTTGGTCTAAAGCAGAATGAAGATCAGAAAGCACTCAAGTACAGGCTTGAATATTGTTTCCTCTCTTGTATGGTTTGAATTTGACGAGTGAGGCTTACTTATCCTCTAGACATCATTCTGCAAGCTACTGTGGTAAGGGTAGAGAATCTTCTGGGTTTCACATCCTGTGTGATGGCATTCAGTTTACTTCCTGATGCTCACCCTAACTTTCCTCTGGTTAGAAATAAGCAGTGGAGTAACTCGTTGGCCATTTGAGAGCCTGTGAGCCTTGAGTGGATACAGAAGTGAGAGGAGGATGAGGATGCCCTCATACATGGTACATTCTCTTTGCTTGAAGAGTTTGACTACAAAGAAGAGCAATTCTAAGAATGCCAATGCAGTGTTTTTTTAATTGTCAGGACAATGTATAATGACATTTCTTAAACAATTGAAGACATCATCACACCTTTATTTTTTTAAGTCTGGCCTCAATGGAAACACTGTGGATTGGAATAGATTTTGTTCTCCTGCTGGTGGACACAGGGAATAAATGCAGTAAAATGGCAGTAAAATGTACGTAGCAGACATCTGCAAAAGGAGACATAATCACATATGGGATAGACAGTTTTCTCTGTTTAAAGAAGTTAGGTCTTCAATGAGACCTGTCACAAAGCCCTGATTTAATGATGAATCACTGCACACTCAGGATGTATAAACAGGCTCAGAAATGTATGGCACATCACTGGTAAGGAAAATGAGAAAAGATAAGTCTTTGAAGCAAATCTGCTAATTTGGCAAATACAAAGCTTGCTTAGAGAACGATGCAGAACTCAATAAATACCCAGGGCAATGCTTCACAGAACCAAGAGGTGGTGGATAACCCATCAAACAATATCAGGTTTGCCCCCTCAAAATTTGCAGGAGGAAACAAGCAATAGCAATTTTTGCTATTTATCTGGTTCCCTTGGTTTCAGAGTGGTATGGTTACTACTTGGGAGACATAAAATTTGAAATGAAATGCCAGCGAAGTTGGTAATAGAGAAGCAGGCAGGAAATGCCCACCACAGGATGAGAAAATGTTCTACCTGGCTGTCCGTTTCTCTGCGTAAATACCCATTTTCACCAAAATAATAGTAACCAGTTTTGCTGGTGAACACCTCTATCCACTTACATGGGATATTTAAACACATCTTTCTATTACCAAGTGCAAACACACCTCTAGACTGCATTGCTTTTATCTTAGTTCATTACAGCAATTAAGCATACAATAAGAACAGCTTTGACTAAACGCCTTATGGCATTAGGCAAATTGACATTTGTCTCCTTATTCTCTTTACTTTTTTCACTACTTCTGCATCCTTCTAACAACTCTGGAATCTGGAGCAGAAAAGGAAAGATACTTTTCCCATCATATCTTTTCTAACCCAACACTAGACAGAAACTTAGGGTAACAAACATTTATAGGCAAATTTTAACAGTGGCTAAGCAACTACTCCAGAAAATTCAGGATCATTCATAACCAAACTCTGGCATAAGAACCAAATCTAAACCCTCAACAAGGAGAAGAGTGAGAGAGTCAAGATTTTAACCTCAGTTGCTTAACTTGGATTTTGGAGAGGAGACTGGGCTGCAATTTCTGGTATCTTAAGGAGTAGTCAGTGGAACATTCTGATACCCAAATTTGGTTTGTCAATGTGTTTAGCCAAATGAACAACGAGTGCTTTGGATCTCATTATTGTATGTCTGGACACCAAAGCAATAATTCAGTTATAATATGAGGAGCCTTGCTTTCAATATTATTGATTATACAATGCTTAACAGTGTTCACAGATATTATAATCAGATTAACTGTAGGCAAAAAGAGAGAAGCAGTGCAACAATAAGACTGAAAAATTATTTCTAAATATTTCATCCAATTAATTTTTTTACTTGTGTTTTATAGCACATTTGTAACACAGTTGCGATTATCTTATTCTTAAATACATTGTGGTACATGCCTGACCAAAAATAACATTTGGTTGGAATCTAATTTGAACTAGAAACAGTAAATGAAGGTGAAGATGTTTTCAAGCTGAAGGGAAAGAACATTTCAAGTTGTGTATCAGGATTTTTGCATAGCTCTAAAATAATCCAAAAATAGAAAAGTTCTATACAGTTATTTCTGAACATGGGTTTTTAAAACATTTTCAAACAGCTTACGAAAAAATAATGGGTTTTGTGTAGTCAGTAAATTGACAACTCTAGGTAAATCCACATGAAAACAATGGGAACAACATCCAATGTCGTCACTGAAAAACTTTTAGTTCCTTCTCTGAAACATTTAATATATATGTACAGAAGCAAAACTCACCATGGACACGGAAGAGGAGAGGTATATATCATGTTTCAGATGACTGTATATCATCCAACTGGTAGTCCATTACACCATCGGCTGATGAAAGATTTTGCCATACCATAAAGATCTCTAGAAAAAAATAGGGAAGTCAAAAGATAATCACTGAAGAAGTTAAAACTGAATGTTCCTTATTTAAAATACAGTTTCACTGCTGTTTAAAGCATACTTTTAAAACAACAAGAACAAAAGAGCCTGTTCTACATCATCACCATCCAGCAAGAGGTGGATACACATTCTCTTGCAACCACTGCAATGATATTTGCTCAGATACTTCATTTGCATTATTTTACTGCAAAGGCTATTTACAGATTTTTTGACTTCCAGCTGACTTCAGGATTCATCTTTGTTTTGAATGTTGTTTAACGATGACAGTGGTATGTACTGGCGTTCTCAAAACAATATTTTTCAAGTGCTATTTTCCTTCTTGTTTCATTTATGCAGGACTCCACTGCACATTTTCTACCAAAACACAAAATCCACATGCCAAAATTAACTACAAAGGTGGATGATGGGGAAGACCACTGCACATGAGCAGGCAGCTGACAAAATCAAACCTCTAATACAAGATACGCTACTCAGCTCGGGTTAACAGCACATGCAGAACAAGGGACACCCACGATCCCATCATCAGCTATTCCTTGTTTCTCTTTTGCTAAACACAAAGGCCAGAGTTTTTCCAAGCTTGCTCGAGGATCTGATCCCAGAGTTGCATTTTTAAACATTGATGAAGGGCAGAGTGGCGAGAGAGGTGGTTCTAAGCTAAGTGGCTGTATAGCACAGAAACAAAAGCCAAGGGAGCTTCACTGAAAAAATTAATATTAGCAATTTTCAGAAATCTTGTTTTCTCTCAATTAATCTTTAGTAGGCCTCCTTGAAAGAATTTTTATACAGAACCATTTCTTCATGGTTCCTCAAAGTTCACAGAAAGTGCTACAAGTTAAACTGAAACAATGACTCACACCAGAAAACCTTACAAATTTGGGGTTATTGAATTTTCTGGTTTCTGTTTGTTGTGGGGGTGGGAGTTGCTTATGTGTGTTGGTTAATTGTCATTATTGTTGTCTGCTTGGTGGGTTTCTTTTATTTCATTTCCTCAAAGCAAAAAAGGGATGGGAGGCCTCCACCACTCTAGATGTATCCAGTTTCAATAGTTTTAGATTTAAATATTTCCTCTCAAAAGAGGCTTTCAAGTTTAATTATATTTAATGTCAAATCTTAGGTTAAAAGAAAGTTAGGATTAAAGTGAAAATGTGACCCCAGCACAGTAATTCTTCTCTCATGGAATCCTTTTTAAGTCTGATGTTCCAAAACACACTTTTTATCAGATAGAGAATGAGATTTCATGAGATTTCAGGGATCTCTCTGAAGTGAGATTTTACATTTTCCACAGAACTGCAAAGAACTTAAAAGCTAAGAAATTATTCTCTTTTCACCTTTTATGAGAACAACTTAGGTAAAATAAATACAATTTTCTGATATTTTTCCACAGACTATTTTTGTCTGTATCAATCACACTTTTCTTTTGATCTCTTCTTCTGCAATTTTCCATCTAAATTCTGTTGATAATTTGAGGACAGCAACATGATCCTGCCAAACATTTAACCTTCCTAGTCTGCTTTACTCCTCTAAAAACCCACTAAAAATGCTGAAGATGGGTTCAATCAAGTGCACGAGTAGAAAACATCATCTCACATATTTAGAATAACCAACTCTTATCAAGATTTTTAATGGAAGGAAATTAAATTCTTTTTTTTTCCTAACTATGAGAGTATTTTATCATGGTGGAGACCAGCATAAAAGTCAAAACAAATATGCCTGGGTAAAAGCATTTTACTCTCATACAATAGTTTTTGTTGTATACTTTTCTAATACTCTTTTACACGACAAAATTACATACTTTGAAGTATAATAAGGCTTTTTTCAAACCATCAGAAACTTTTAGGAGGTTCTACAATAGGCTACTTATTGCTGCTACATCTCACATTGCTGCTGACTTTTCAACACAAATGAACAAGAGTGAGGAATTGGTCCAGTCCAAGAAAAATATGTGAAAAACTTGTTATTTTTATAAAGGCAGGTCTGTTTTCTCCCCTTAAAATACTACTGGATCCAAAATACTACTGCAATGAGTGAAGTATGCAGGGGTAGGCACAGAGAGAAGATAAAGTACCTCACCTGCCACTGTTACTTCTGAAATGCACCCTTGTTTTGAAAAAGTATTATATTGGTAAAGACAGTATTTATATTAATATACTGGCAATTTAAACCAGTATTTCGTGTTCACAGCTTTGCTATGTCAATGCATTATGCAGTACAAGCTTTTAAAATTTTAGGCTTTCTAAAGACAAAATGAAATTGATATTCCTTTCCTTTACTATAAAACAGTGTATTCCACAAGATTTTTGGGAAGTTTGCAGATTCTTCTTTGCAGTGTGAGAAGCTGTAGAAAGCCATCAATATGCACTATGAGCAGGGCCTGGTAAGGTAACTGCTGCAGCTGTATTATAATTTCTAAAGAACTACATTTTTCTTTAAATAATTACATTGTCTTAACTTAGAAATAGATGTTGTTTAAAGTGAATGCACTCATATGTCAGTGGACTAGCTACATAGAGATGATCAATCACTGTGACTCAAATACAAGAGAACTGACTTACTGCTGTGAAGTGCAAAGTTATTAAAGCATTTTTACAGAAGCCCCTGACCATCATTCAGTCATATGATTGAGGGGTTTGTCTTGCAGGACTAGATTTCTGAGCTGCACTTAAGGATGCTTTAGTGACCAATGTAAAAAGCTGGAAATGGTGTTTACACATTCTGCTGACAGCCTTAATCTGTCAAGAAAATGTCTGCAGAGCCAAAACAATACAAGTTTTGGCCATCCTGTGGTATTCTGACTTCCCATAAAATAAAAAGCCATAAAAAGACTTCGATGTTTTCAAATACCTTAAGAACATGAAGGAAAAAAATAAACTTTGCAAGGACTAACATTGTTGTGTTTTTTGAGTACGCACAAAACCAAATAAGGGATTGTTCTCTACAAAGAGGCTTTTTAAGGAAGCTATTTAATATTAACAAAAGTGACAAAACACCTGAAATACCACCAATTAAAAATCTCCTCACTGTAGTCAGAGTCTTAATCTGTTCCCAGCACTTAAATGTCGCAGGTGGACAGTAAGAATTTATTTGTGACTTCTCTGCTGGACACAAGACAGTTGAATTACAGTCTCAGAATTACATAAAAAACAGCAGTCTCTGGTTTCTGCATTATATTGGGACCACACATCCCTTCAGCCAGCTCCTGCAAGATCAGCAGTAGCCCAGCACAGCTACAGGGACTGACACTAGCACCCACCTCAGCACCAAGGGCTGCCTGCTTCGAGAGCAGAGCCTCTAAGGTCCCTAAAATACAAAAATAATGAATCTGAGAATGAAGTAAAAACGCTATCCTAGTTTCAGATCTCAGAAATGTGGAAAGAGTTTTAGGCTGTGCACGTCTCACTGTCACTGCCACAAAAGCCTTTTTAAAAAATAGCAATTTCCTGTGTGTCTTATGTAGCTACACAACCACCCAGATGGAACAAGAATTAGCAATCGATTTCATTAATTAGAAAAGTAGCTTTGAAGGAACGGAGCATTACTGACAGAAGCAGTTTGTAAGCATTGTTCTCTAATGAAATCTAAACTGTCATTTCAACAAAGCCAAAGGGTTCTTTTCCTCACAAGTAACCTGCACTGAAAACTAATTAGAAGCCATAGGTATTTTGCTGCACTTCACACTCAGTGAGAGCTAATCTCAAATAGCCAATTGCAACCAACAAGTCGCTTGAACTTTCCTGTCGGTGACCCTTTATTGAGCCCATATTGCCAGCTTACACAAGCCAGTGCCAGTGCTGCTCATCTGAAGGGGCAGAGCGGAATGTGCTCATTCCCAGAGCCTGCCTCTGTTGCTCTGCAGGCACGATGCATGCTGGAGACATGAATTTTCATTCCTTAAAAGTGTAACACAGAGGAGAACATTTTTTGTACCTGCACCTTTAATTGTAAGTATAATTCTTGATTCTTGTTCTTTTTTTCTCTATATCAGTCAAACCAGTGGTTACTACCGGGTACAACATAACAAAAGGAAAACGAAATCCCAGCAGTGCTCCCAGCTACACGCTGTGCAAAGCAGGATGGACACACCGTGTAAATGCACACAGGTGCTAAAGAGCTTTCATGACAAAACAAGTAAGCTACACGAGGTTTTCAATCATGGGCTATATTCAAACTGATTGCTATTTATACAGTTTTCCTTATTTAAATGAAAACTTCTCATCAGGTTTGGTTCTGCTAAAATTTGTATCAACAACATACTAAATGGCAGTTGCTTGTTCTAACACACTGAAAAATAACTATATATTAATTATTTACAAAAAAAATCCTGGATGCATTTGTCCCCTTAAAATTATCAAAACTGGATTGTATTCAAGTGACCAAGAATTTTGGCCCCTAACACCTAATACAATTTGTTTTAATCAAATTTTGTTTTGTGTTATGAATATGCAAAACTTTAAACTGTGGAACAGCACGTTATTGCTTGAAACTCTCATGTTTGTTTTAAGAGTGAGACCTTATAACCATAACATCTAACAAGTCCTGATAAATGACAATGATAATGAGTTCTTTGGTCTTTAAACAAACTGTACTAGCCACTGAACTATATTCAAGTTTAACCAAATCAGCTTGCACTTATAAGAAAAAAAATCTACTACTCAGAGGAAAAATAATATGATCTTCATTGAAATACTATTTTCCAAAAAGAAAAAAATGTAGGGGGAAAAAATTGAACAAAGCTGCATTTGAAGCACAGTTAATTAAAAATGCATCTGGCAGCATACATTAAAAAAAAACCAAAAAACGAAAAAAACACGAAAATTCTGGTTATTGGCACCAGTACCCACCTCCACCACAAAGGGCAGCATGCTCTGGGAACAGACGTTCTAAGCTGAATGCAAAAAGACTCAGATGGTTTCAGAGGACAAAGTAAAAATTTTGTCCTGGATTCACTTCACTGTATACAGTTTTGG